TGTTTCAGACTCATACTATCATCTATCATCTATCTACTATATGCCGAATGGGTTTCAGCCGAGCCCAAGTGCCAGAATGAACTGCACGGCTTATTTCTACAGACCAGCGAGCTATCAGAGAAGCCGTAGACGAGGTAAATTGTCTTTGACTGACGGTATTCAGCCACAGTCCCTAAGCATGCAGTCCTAGTAAGTAATCTCTATAAGGCAACAAAGACAAGGGTCACATGGTTGCTGCGCCCAATACCACCAATCCGGGGAATCCGGCCGCTTGGTGGTCCCCCCCTCCCTCCCGACCGGCCGCCCCGACCGCCACTTCTTCCGCCCGTGACATCACCCCCTAATTTACTGCCTAAGGAAGCAAACTAGAAATACTAAGTACAGGCAGCTATCCAATCCCGGCTGATCTATACTCCGTGATGGTTCTAACAACTACTTACAAAGTAAACAGTCTTCCTTTTACTCATTTTATTCCTCTTGATAGATCCATACAGTTACTGCTGTCTACGAATACATCAGATCCAATTTATTATTGTACCTTTGCATACTACTAGTATCTAATCCTTATGAAATTATGTACTACTAAATACAGTAAGACCCGATCGATCGATCTGAGAAGGTACTAAGGTCACTTTAGTGAATCAGAAAAGAATTGATTTGAGGAATGACGTGATATGGAGAGATGGTCACGATTTTGTTTACTAAATTAAAAATTGTATTGGACGTGGGGGTGGGTGTCTTTTGTATTTCACCTTATTTCTTTTGGTTCGTAAGTTGCTTTTTGCTCGTTTTTGGGGGGTAGTGTGGTGTGCTTGCAAGGTTTGTAGGCTGTAAATATGATTGATGACTACTGCTGCTGCTGCTGCTGTGCTGCTTAAGTTGACCTGGGATTACGTGCTTCTAAGTAGACACGGGCTTACCTGGGACTGCACTTCTCCGTAGGACTCGTTTAATAGAATATAATAAGTATAGGCCATTGCACAGCTCATTAACAAGTTCATTAAGTACCTACTACTCCTATCCCAAAACACAGAGATTCAAACCACGAGCACAAGACGAACTCAAGGATTGCACCAACTATAAATACTCTGTCTTTCTCCTCTCTCTCTGCTCCGTCCTCCTCGCAGGTGGTATAGTAATACATTAATCAGTTCGACAGTAGAGTAAGTTCCCCTTGGACCCGGCCATGTCTCTTTGGATCGTGAATATTCCCACCACTTGTGTCGGATTCCATTTCCTTCACCAACAGTGGAATAATCTCGATGACTAGTGTCGGGACATGCGTCGTCAGGGAGTATATTAATCGTAAGGTAACGGAAAACTCGTTAGGGGTAAAAAGAAAACACAAAAGGCATCAAGAAAGAACGACAAAATCATATCGAGCGGGAATCTCAAACCGCAAATATAGAGACAAAGATGAGAGTATTGATCAGTAACTTGGCGGTCTCAATGATCGTATATGATCCACCAAGGTAAGCTGATCTTCACCACTTTCTCATCCTATTTAAACAGACACCGTGACGGGCTCCCGCTCCTCTTCTCGACCCCGCTCCTCTCCGTCCACAGTGCTGGCCACTTCCTCACCATCCTCTACCTCGTGCTGGTAGGTCGCATGCTGATCCGCGGGCACCCAAGAGTCACGGCCCATGGGCTGGTCCTGGCCGGAAAGATCGACGCCTTCACGGCCCTTGAGGGTCTCACGGTGACGCTGAGACAGGGTGCGCGAGCGCTGGGAGAGAGCGGGCTTGACCGACGCCTTGGAGGTGACCCAGTTGGCGAGGGCTTCCTCACAGTCCTGGATGATGGCCTTGCTGGCGTCATATCCATCATAAGCATGGCGAGTCTCGCCTGGAGTAACCGGCGTGTCATCGACCAGGTCCAGGAGGTGCTTGCCGTATCCAGCGATGAGAGCCACCTTTTCACAATGCTCCCTGAGTGCATCGAACTGGTACTGGAAGGCTGCCTTGAGCTTCTCGCGGGTGATGTTGGAGAGCTGGGCTTCAGCCACGAGGGATTCGGCCTCTGCACGGACAAGCTCTTGCTCCAGAACGACGATGCGGGGAGAGTTGGGGTCCTTGTACTTGAGCTTAGCAATCTCATCGGTGATCTTCTGCTTGCCTAGAAGCGTATGCATGTTAGAACTAAAAATCGGTAATAGGACAGAAATCACATACGGTCGCGGCTGGGCTGAACCGAAGCCTCAATGTTGCGGATGCTCTTGATGGTGACACGGTACTGGTCATAGCGGTCGACGAAAAGGTCTTCCAGTTCACCAATCTCGTAGAGCAAGACTCCCAGCTTGTCAGTGACGTCGGAAACATCTTCGTCGCAGTTTTCACCCCAGATGGAGAGTTGTTGCTGCCAGCACCCATGATTAGTCCTCGTGTCTCCCAAGAAGTTGAATCGCTAGACATACAGCAGTTTCCATACGCTCCCTAGAAACCATCTCCATGCTGCGCATGACGTTCTTTTCCATCTTCACCAACTGGGAAAGCTTCCTGGCAAGGTCGGGCCCGAAGGCGCCAGCCGTGTTCTTGCGCAAGGCATGGCCTGAATTGACATTGTCAGTTTCATCATCATACAAGGCTCAGCTTGTTCTCAGCAGATAGTGGTTGCCTAGCCCCCCTAGCATAGGGAGTGACCAGAGCCATTGATCTCCATCCAGGACAAAGATCCAACATTCTTGGGGATCACTCACCAAAACCACCCTTTCCAAAGATTCTGTTTGTCTTGGTGGAAGACAATGGCGGAGGAGGGTTCTCAATCTGCGAGGCCGTCGGCAGGCGCGACTGGCGCATAGAATAGGTGCGATGCATGGCGAATTGTCCGAGTGCGAAAGGCTAGACACAAGGGATGAAACGAAAGAATAGAGAAGAAAGCCACCAAGGTTGGCTGCAAATCGGACGAGGCGGTATCTTTCAAGAGATTCTTTGCGCAGGAGTGACGTGTGTCAGGAGGGCGCGACGGGATGCGACGGAAGAGGGATCAAGGCGAGAGGGGTGGGCAATGCAACGGGTCCGAGATCGAGACACGAGATGGTCCAAAGTGGGAAAGGTGGGTGAGTGGTGATGATGGTAAGGAACCACGCTTGAGAGTCGATGAGCAGATGGATCAATGACACTTGCGAAATTCCTTCACTTGAGCCGGGGAGGGGGGGGAAGAAGTGGGCTTTTGGGTGCTTTTTCCCCTTCGAAGGCTGGGGGAAGAGTGGAGCGAGTTGGGCTGGAAATGAAATGAACTGCTTGTGGTTGCAACTCTAGAGTCTCGTTCGTGACGTCGAGACTAGACCAGCACTAAACCCGATTGAGAGGCTCCAGTATTACAAGGTGAAAATCAGGCAGTAATTTTGGTTGATCACGAGCAACGCAAGGCGATTGGCAAATTTTCTCTTTGCAATTAACTTCAATCCAGAGGAACCAGAGGAAAAACCTATTAGAAAATTAAGGGGATTCGCAGGGGAACTGGGATTATCTTTCACTGCAAGCTTCATATATACCCATTCTTTTTTCTTTCTGGTTTCCCCGGAACCCGCGACGTCATCACGACCCAAAGAATCCGCTCAAAAAATAACTGATGTCATCGATTTCTGGTCCCTCGATCAGTCCAACAGAAGAAGCGAAAGTTTGACCAACTCGTCAATGTCATACAGAGTTTGAGCTATTCTCATATGGTGATGGTGTCTGTTTTGTGGCTTGCTAGCTACGTTTTCTTTTCATTTGTCTCATGCCCACAATGATCTAAACTTATTGATTTCTTCTTCTCATTCTAGGTAGATGTCCTCTACAGAACCGCCCCGATGGCTGGCTCGAGCAATTCCACCAGAAACCCCCTTTTCGAGACACACGATGGAAATGATCAAGGCGATAGTCCAGACCGCTGCGGGACTATAATTTAGTCTCATATAAACGTACAGATAGTAGGTCCAGATAGTGCCCATCGCCTAGGTGATCGCCGTCTCCGCATTCGGATCGCCCAGGACCAGAACTCCTGGAACTCGGGTCCAGCGGCACTTGCTTAGTGATTCTGCAACATCATGACGAACGGTGGGGGGGCCTTGTTCATCTCCCGTCAACACATGATGTTATGCAGAGTTTTCGTCCTTTTACCTATGGCTAACAAGCTCTTGTGACACAGGCACTTATACCCCTTTCAGATGAGATTCGGCAGTAGCTTACGCCAGGTTTTGTACTTTTTTTGACGCTCCGGGTCACTCAAGTCATATCGTCACCAGGAGTTACACCCTCGATAACTCTGCCCCACAGGTCCTCAGTCAACACTGCTTCTCAGTGGTGGTGAGAGTTAAGTCTCATGCTAATCTTTTCAAGCTTGAATAATATAAGCCTGTGGAGTCCATCTGCTGTCTCAGCATGGACCGCATTCTGTTAAGCTGGTCTTGTTAGCGCTTCCCACCCACCCGATGCAGCAGCTACACTTGTACACTGTACAATTTTTCACCCTTTGCACGGCTACTACTGCCCTTGTTCTCCGTTCAATGTGTTTTTACCCACACTTCACAATGAGCCCTCCCCTTACGCGTCTTAATCTTATCTTGTGTAGTATGTTGCCGTTATTGTGTGTCATGAAGAATTCTCGTAATAGTCGGCTGAAGCATTGCGGCTTCGTTCTTTTACTTAGTCCACTTTTCGATACACACACAGTAATTTGCAGCTACACAGAGTAGAAGCAACAATATGCATCCGAAGAGTGACAAGTGATCTCAATCACGTGAACCATGATTTGCATACACTGTAGTATTGACAAGGGATGTTTTTATATGATCATCTTCGCACTCAATTCCCAATAGGGGCCATACAAGTATCTACCATAGACTGGGTTCCTCGTTGATGAACTATGGCTTATCTGCAGCGATATGATCACTAGCAAATGCAAACCCCTCAGATTCTGGCAGGCTGTGTCACGTGCCACACCACATCCCACCACCCATTACGTAAGCATATTCACAGTGGATGGAAATTCTGGAATTTTGAACGATGATCGCCATGCGGGGGAAGCCACCATTTGTAGATAATGTGCCTCGAAGTATGCATCCCTCCGTTGAGGTCAGTGGTAGTCTTATATATCAATCATACTCAACATCGCTGACCGTCTCCAGCACATTGACACTTGCGTCCCCGTAACGGCGCTCAAAGCGCTCGAGTTGAGGGATGTCAAGCTTCTACTCCAAGCCCAAGGCACTTATATCAGGCTCATTGATGAAGTGAGTGGGAATCTACTCGCAGAGCTGAAGGCCTTCAAGCGAAACCATGTGCACGGGTTCGTTGCTCTCAGCCAACAAGAGCAAGCTGCCGGACCCTCACATGCCCGGTTCATTGCCTGGGGAGGACAGTCCGTGAGAGCTTTTGACTTGTTTCTCTCTGTTCAGGAGCCCAGTGCAAGACTCGCGGCTGCAAGCGCTGAATATCAGGGACCGGATTGGATCCTGGCTGGTTGTGCGTCCAGCCAGGAGGAGTCCGCGACTGCATATGTGTTGACGGCCCACAATGCCGTTCTTGGTCTGCATATAGTAGATGGAGACGGGTCAAAACATGAAAAGGCTGTTCACATAAAGCCACTTGTTACTGGTGTCAACACGATTTTGTACTCTGCAGATATCGTCGCCCTCTCGGACTCTCACATCCTGATCGCTGCAGGGACCGTTTTCGGAGAGATCATCGTTTGGTCTTCCTATCTGAATGAGTCTGGAGGAGCAGTCGGTTCGATCCATCACTTCTTTACAGGCCATGAAGGGTCAATCTTCGGAGTCCGGATATCTCCTTCTATTGCTTCCTTGCGCGGCGACCAGAGCGGACGACTGCTGGCTAGTTGTAGTGACGATAGAACGATCAGAATCTGGGACATTTCTGACTGCGAGCGTACGTCCCGCCACGATGCGCCGGCGTACTCGACCGATGGCTTTGAGCTCCGGAGCACTGGCTTCGGTGCTGTAGCTCATGACAATGAGGTCGGTTCCGAGAAAACCATTGCCAGTGCTTTTGGGCATCTGGCTCGAATTTGGGGCGTTAACTTCCTACCTGTGGGAGAGGGATTAGGCAAAGTGAATCTTATATCTCGTGGTGAAGATGCGACGTGCATACTATGGGATCTCACATGGGACCCGTCATCACAGACACCCCAGTTCAAGCTGACCGAGGGCATCTCCATCCGCAAACACACTGGCAAGCACGTCTGGTCCTTGGAGGTGCGCAGCACCGATACTGAGGCGGTGATTTATACCGGCGGGGCTGATGGAGCCGTGAAGAACTTTACCATTAAGGCAGACGAGAATGGATCTCTCGTTCTACCCAATCTACACGACCGCATTACGATGACAGTTGATACTCAAAATCCAGAACCCCACGTTGAAACGTCCATCAAAGGCTTTGATTTTGTCTCACAGAACGAGTTCATTGCTGTGACTGCCCGTGGCGAGGTTCAGGTCGGTCATATCAATGCCCAAGACTTGTCTAAACAACATATCTTTAAAAAAACATTATTCGTCGAAGATGACCTGCGATCTTATTCAGTTGTTGGCAGCTTACCACAGGAGGGTATTGCCCTCGTGGGTAACGCAAGAGGTTCTATTCGGCTTTACAATCATAACGTCAAGTCCCTGACAAGGCTTGTCGACGTCGGTCAAAGACCTTTGATTTTGATCCCCCTCGACTATAACCAGGTTTCAGAATCAGAAGCAAACCTGGTATTCACTGTGTCTTATCCAAACTCCGAGACAGCAGAGCTTTTCATGGTATCGTTGTCAGGTGATGGACCGTCCGTGGATAGAATAACTATCAATCTCCCGTACGGCTTCGGTATGGCATCTGCATCCTTGGTATGTGGTAAGCAGTACCTGGCACTCGGCTCCCTCACTGGCAATTTCGCTCTGTATAAGGTGGCCAATACCGAGAGCATCGAACCCGTCATGCCCCCAAGCAAGCTACACGGTCGTGAAGGACTCAGCTACATCACGTCATTCTCGTCGCTATACGGCGAGGAAGAACAGCTGCATCCGTACTTTTTGACCTGTGGACGGAGCGGGACATACGGAGTGCACAAGCTGGTTATCTCAGAAGGCCCGGAGCCTTCTATTTCGCTTCAAACCCTGCATCTGGCCTCACTGGCTTTCAACTGTGAGATTCAAGGAGCCTATATCGACAAGGTATCTCAAGACCTCATGATCTACGGATTTCAGCCCATGGACTTTGTGCTTTGGAACGAATCCGCGCAGACAGAAGTCGCTAGGCACAAGTGTAATGGCGGCCGGCGCGCCTGGGCTTTCCAGCCTAACAACACAAAAGCTTGGGCTGGGTCACTCCTATGGATTCAATCCGGCTTTAGTGGCATGGAGATACATCCGGAAGCCAGCCGGACCTTGCGTTCTGGCAGCCACGGAAGAGAGGTGAAAGCCATGTCTGCGACTCAGCAGGGTGGACTGGGCCCGTTGTTCGCAACGGGATCGGAAGATACAAATGTGCGTATCTTTACACCTCGCGATCCGCAGTCTGAGAACCGCTGGGGTGCGTTCAAATGTCTACGGCTCCTGCGAGAGCACCACACGGGTCTTCAGAGTGTGGGGTGGTCCACGGACGGGCGCTTCCTCTTTACGAGCGGTGGTTACGAGCAGTTCTTCGTTTGGCGGACACACTCGATTCCTCGATTTGGACTTGGAACGACATTGGATGGGGAGTGTCCAAAGAGCGATCCTAACTCGGATCTTCGGACAACGAGTTTCGACGTATTGGAGGTGGAGGACGAGCAGGCAGAGGGTTCGTTCCTAATCTGTCTGACCTATTCCAACTCCACCATCAAGGTAAGCAGTTCATACAATCTTCTTGGGCCATACTAACTGTGCAGATCTTCCATTACACCTCATCGGCCGAAGGAGGCAGCTTTACCCTCTTAGCGAATGGCACCTACATGAGCAATTGCCTGACGCAAGCAAACTTTATGCTCAAAGGCTCATCACTGAGCCTAATCACAGCTTCCACAGACGGCTACTTTACACTCTGGGACCTGACCTCCGTTCTGGAACCTTTCTACACGATCACATCACCTCTGCGTATGAAGCAGACCATCCAAGGAGCATCCATCACCCCAGCAACCATCTCATGCGAAAACCGCTACCAGATCCACTGGAACAGCATCAAGAGCCTAGAACTGGCCGATCTATCAAACACCCTGTCCTTGATCGTCGCGGCCGGCGACGACAACTCGATGACCGTCACTCTTCTCGACACGAGCATCGAGAACGGCGCGGCCACATGCACCATCGCAGTCCCCGACGCCCACGCAGCCTGCATAACGACGACGAAGATCCTCGCGCAGGACCTGAACCCAAGCGACGGAACTGCTCGATTCGCCGTCGCATCGTCCGGCAATGACCACCAAGTCAAGATCTGGTGGATCGACATTGACACGAAGATGAACGGGGCGGACCGGATCCAGATCAGCAAGGCAGCGGAGCGGTACAGTTCTGTGGCGGACATTTCGTCGCTGGACATCCTCCACGATGCGTCGGGAAGTAAGCTGGTGGTGTGTGGAACTGGCATGGAGATGTTGCGTCTGCAGTTGTAGTACCTACTTTCAGATGATTTGCACATACTATACCAATAAACATAGAGCCATAGAATAGAGTGTACCGCGGATTACGCTATTACCCGGGGAACTAAGCAAGCCACCCCGTAGCCAAAACGGCATAGTCTGCTCGATCAATGCTTGATTGATATCTGCGTGATGTTCTTCTCCCTCCGATTTGCTATCTGCAGGATGCAAGTATGCATGCATTGCTCGATTGCTACCCCGCAACACCAGGGTTCAGGACGGGGAATTCGCTTTCCATCAACCGCATTGAGGTCCGATCGCAGTCGGCTAAATGATTCCACAGGATCCAAATTCCAATGGGTAACAGCTGGGTCTAGAATGGGCGTGATACATACCCCTCTTTTAGTAGTGATACTATATAATAGTATCCCAGAATACCAGCACAGCTTGAAGCTTCACATTCTACATAGCCAAATTCTTCATAAAACTTACAATCCATACTGCAACCACAGCAATAAACCAACATGAAACTCCCACCCTCCTGGCTCCTCGCCAGCGGCATCGCCATAACCATGACCGCTATCCCCACAGCCACAGCCAGACCATGGACCCAAGTACCACGACCAAGAGCAGAAAACACCACCACTAATCCCACCTACTTCTTCACTTTGTACCTCTCCCTCCCCACCACCCACACCCCTAACCACACCACCACTAAACAATAAATACAGCGGAGACTCCTACTCCCAAACCGGCTTCAGCGCCTCCGGCACCCAACCCTCCGCCTCCAATCCCATGGGCAATCCAGACCTAGGCAAGCACCCATTCCCATACCCATACCCATACCCCTCCCATAACACAAACCCCTAATAATGATAATGGGTCAGGAATCGGCACCACAACCAACGGCCCCAACTGGATCGGCTACCTAACCACAACCGAAAACGCCTCGCTAGTCCTCAATTACAACTTCGCCGCGGGGGGAGCCACAATCGACAATGCCCTAGTCCCCGCATACCCGGGTGACTTGGCATCACAGTTCCGGCTGTTTGAGGATGTGTATGCCCAGAAGCCCGAGTCGGCGCCTTGGGATGCTAAGGATGCGGTGTTTGGGGTGTGGATTGGGATAAATGAGTATATTCTTCCCTCCTCTCATTCATCTTATTCTCTTTGTGTATTATTTATGTGGGTGTGGGTGGGTGAAAGCTAATGAATCTCGGGGGATAATAGTATCGGAAACGCATTCTACTCCACCGACGCAGCGACATACACACCGAAGCTCATATCCCGACTAGAAAGTCTCGTGGAGGAGGTATATAAGAACGGGGGCAGGAAGTTCCTGTTTCTGAATGTCCCGCCGACGAGTCGCAGTCCGTTGTTTTTGGATCAGGGTGAGGAGGTCGTCGAGCAGCATGCGGCGTATTTGGCGGTTTATAATGAGAATTTGGAGCGAATGGTGGAGAGGTTTAATAAGGGGAAGGGGGATGTAAGTTTCTCTTTTCTTTTTGGTTTGTTTGTGTGTTAGAGTTGGGAAGGGGAGAGCTGACTGGTGGTGGTTGGGGCAGGTAACTACCGTCCTCTATGACTCGTGGTCATTCATGACGAAAATCCTGGATGATCCGACGGCGTATGGATTCCCTAATGCCACGTGTATCGATGATGATGGGACGTCGTGTATTTGGTGGAATAATTATCATCCCGGGATGAAGTATCATCTTTTGCAGGCGGAGGATATGAAGGGGGTGATGGGGGGGTTGGGGGGTTGGTAGTATTACTTTTATAGTATGTTATTTGTTGGATAGTACTACTATCATACTAGTATGTTTGAGATGGTATATATATCCTAGTGGGTTGAAATGGAACTAGTTACGCTGTAAATGCTCAGCTTTGTTCATTGGTTTATTGTTGATATGTAGTATAGACTGCACCGGTTATATATTTTGATGAGGGACTGCCCTACGGTATTCTGGCTGAATGCATTGCCAGTGATAAAATGTCACTGACATGAAAGCTCCACTTATGCATTACTCCGTGTTCTTATATGTTGATCCTTCTTCTCCCGTCACGGACCTCATTTCCGTATCAGTTTCATAACCCTGACCCTGCCAAGGCGGATCATTGACCGAGCGTAGTCCCTGCTTCGACTTTATCCGCCCTATAGGATTGATGATATCTGCAGGTGTGAAGATCTGCAACGTTTCCTGTTTGAAAATCCGTTATTTTCTGCATTCGGACGTTTCAATTTGAATAACGGTGGATGGGGAGATGTTGCCGAGAAGGGTGCATTCTGCTTTTCTCCGTGCTGGATTGGGATAGTTAGGATGAGAGGAGGATATAAAGGTTGGACATTCTCATCTCCTTGGACACTAACTGTAGACTGTTAATCGAGCAGTCACCATGAAGTTTCAGAGCACTCTGCTTCTTGCCGCCGCGGCTGGTTCCGCGTTGGCTGTGCCTCATGGTCCTGGACATAAGAAGAGGGCGTCTGTGTTTGAATGTAAGATCTCCTTGCCTTGCTGTCGCTAAGCTGACGGCATAGGGTTCGGATCGAATGAGTCTGGTGCTGAGTTTGGGACCAATATTCCTGGGGTTTGGGTATGTATCATCGCCAAAGTATAGGCGTATGCTGATGTCGCAGGGAACCGACTACATCTTCCCCGACCCCTCGGCCATCTCTACGTTGATTGACAAGGGGATGAACTTCTTCCGCGTCCAGTTCATGATGGAGAGGTTGCTGCCCGACTCAATGACTGGCTCATATGATGAGGAGTATCTGGCCAATTTGACGACAGTAAGATGACTCCAGCCTGTGTTGAGTAGTGCTGACGAGATAGGTGATAAAAGCGGTAACGGACGGAGGCGCTCATGCCCTTGTTGACCCTCATAACTATGGCAGATAGTAAGTACGCAGTCCCAGTAGGTAATACTGGCTAACAAAACAGCAACGGCGAGATCATCTCCAGCACGTCTGATTTCCAGACCTTCTGGGAGAATCTGGCCGGCCAGTACAAAGATAACGACCTGGTCATGTTTGACACTAGTAAGTACCCACAATCCCATCAAGGATCATGCTGACAAGGCAGACAACGAATATCACGACATGGATCAGGATCTCGTGCTGAACCTCAACCAAGCAGCCATTAACGGCATCCGCGCCGCAGGTGCGACCAGCCAGTACATCTTCGTCGAAGGCAACTCCTGGACCGGCGCCTGGACGTGGGTCGACGTCAACGACAACATGAAGAATTTGACCGACCCCGAAGACAAGATCGTCTATGAAATGCACCAGTACCTAGACTCCGACGGTTCCGGCACCTCGGAGACCTGCGTGTCCGAGACCATCGGAAAAGAGCGGGTCACTGAAGCTACACAGTGGCTGAAGGACAATAAGAAGGTCGGCTTCATAGGCGAATATGCCGGGGGTTCCAATGATGTATGTCGGAGTGCCGTGTCGGGGATGCTGGAGTACATGGCGAATAACACGGACGTATGGAAGGGTGCGTCGTGGTGGGCAGCCGGGCCATGGTGGGGAGACTACATTTTCAGCCTGGAGCCCCCAGATGGAACTGCGTACACGGGTATGCTGGATATCCTGGAGGCATATCTTTGAGGTCTGGGTGGGTCGCAGATGCGGTGCATCGGAGAACTATACGGAGTATCTTGTCCGAGCGGGCGGTGGTGGTACAGAGAGGAGTACTAGTATACATTAGTGGCAGCGCACTGACTGACGTCACAAGGCATTCCATTCTGGACGCTCCATCCTTGTGCATTCTGTTGAGTGTTACCTGTAGGCACTAGGCAGTGAGGCACGCCTGTCGCTGAAATAGTGCACGTTGTACTCCATAACGAGTAGTCGGTGGATTCTTATCAACGATCATCGAGTATAGCTCATCGAATTGCGTAGGGAGTAGAGATCTGACGACCCACCGGTAATAGGATATACATAGTTCTCCTCATCAGCCTTATCGGATAAATCATGTTCGTGGATGAACACCGCGATGTTGTTGAATGCACGAGAAAGCAACGACTGCAGGTAGGGCAGTGATGGGATGGTCGAGGCCGAAGGAGGAACCATGGATGAGAGACGGGCCCGCCAAGACGCTCAACGTAAGCCCGGGTTAATAGTCTGGTCGATCGGAGAGGGTCAATCCCGGCACTTTTCCCGTCTGCCGCGACGGTTGAGAATTGAAACAGCAGATTTGCTTCTTTTGATAGGTGGTCATGAAGTCATGACTCGACTAGTCGTGTTGATTACGCCAGTTGCCTTGCTAAGAAGACTCCGTTGGTGATGATCCATCAACACTGTTGAGATGACTTCTTGGGCACTTCATCGGACGTCCCTGAGGCAGTACCATGGGACGGACAGCAGGGAATATGTCGATGCAGAAGAAACTTCCGAGAATGTCATGCATACCAATAAAAGCATCCAACATTGACCGCGTATTGCCAAGCTCAGAATGATGAAGCCTAGTCAGTGGAGGTTCCGTGGTTGGTGGGCTGAGGGTGAGACACGCTCATCCAGAGATCCAGGCTCACAGGAAATCTTGGGAATGAGATGGTTAAGCAGATTCCCCATGATGACGATCGCTACTTCACTGTACGGTGCCTCTTTGGTCCACCGTGTATCAGATAGGTTGGTTGGAGTGATACGATCCAACTCGACCCGACCGACATAGATTGCGCAGGACTACTCAGTTACTAGCCAGAATTCCCGTGTGTGTATAAAATTGATGAAATGGAATACATCAACTGACTTGATAAATTATTAGGAAACAAGGTTGATACCAGAGTAATAATGATAATAATGAGGAAGAGGACGCGTATTACCCCAGCCACTTTCTGACGTGGCGGTAGGGCTGGTGAGTCTCCGCCACGAGGGTTAGTCTTCTTAATGCGGATTAGTCCCTTGCAGTGTGTTCTGTGCAATGTCAACAGAAATATTGCTTGCTATGAAAATATCTGCTCATGACGAGAACCCTTTAACAAAAAAGGCTCCACTATCAACCGTGCTGGATCCCGCGTTTGGGTTGCGGTGGAAACTCGCTCGAATTTATTATAGAAACAAGCGTGGCGTAGTCCATCATCTACCCTCCGTGATTGGCCCGCTGATCAACCAAACTCTCTCCATCTGACTGCGCCTCCCCAATAAACTAAATTCAAAGCAGTAAATAACAAGTAATTTTGTGTTGATCCCTCAGCAGCCTCTTTTATAAAATCATCCTGTCCCAGCCTTCTTCTCATCTTTCATCTCTCACATTTTTCACCACCACCCATCACCCTGATACACTCACGTTTAGTGTCTCGCTTCTATTTATTTAACCACCTGTTCGGACCTGAAATCAAATCTACCCCCCCCGATAAGCAAGGGAAAACAACCACAGCATACATACATCCCCACGTCATCCTCCACATCAACCGTCACCATGGGTAAAGGCGGTCGCATTGTCTGCATCTTCACTCCATATGTCCTCACCATCGCCTCCTTAATATGCATCATCATGGTGGGCCTGGGCTGCACAAAATCCAGCTCCAGCACGCTAAATGATCTCTACTTCTTCAGAGTACGTCTTGCTGACCTTTCATGCATCCCCACCCAAATGTCCGATCGTACTGACTCCACTCCAGGCCAACCTCAAGAACATTACCTCCGAAGCCTCTTCCACCGCATCAACAGTATCCTCCGTCGTGAGTGACCTGACTGGTGTCTCGGATGGCGATCTCTCTGCTGCGCTCGAGGAAATCGAGGAACAATACAACATCGAGGACTTCTATGCCATTGGTCTCTGGGGCTACTGTGAAGGAAACATCACTTCAAACAACAGCTATCAAACCAGCAACTGCTCCAAGCCCGAGGCCGAGTTCTGGTTCAACCCTATGGAGGTCTGGAACCTGGAAGAGACCGGTCTGGAGAATGCCCTTCCTAGCAACGTCAAGAGCGCCCTGAACACCTACAAGGCCGTTTCCAAGTGGATGTTCATCGCCTACGTCATCGCCTTCGCTCTCACCATCGTCGAGCTGGTCGTCGGTGTCTTCGCTATCTGCAGTCGCTGGGGTAGCTGCGTGACCAGCTTGGTGTCTGCTGTCGCTTTCCTCTTCACCGCTGCCGCTTCCGTCACTTCCACCGCCATGTTCGCCGTCCTCAAGGGCGTCTTTAAGTCCGATCTCGAGCAATACGGCATCAAGGGTCAAATGGGCAAGAACATCTACGTCGCCACCTGGCTCGCGGTCGCCTTCTCTCTCGGAGCCACTCTCTTCTGGATCATCAGCTCCTGCTGCTGCTCCGGTCGCTCCCCTTACAACCACCGCAACCGCAACCGCGCTGTCATGGCCGAAAAGACTCCCTACACCTACGAGGCTCTGGGCCCTCACGGCCAGACCCAGCCGATCCCTTACACCAACACCTCTTACCCTCCCCCGCCTCCGATCCACAACAACCAGACCACGGGTCGCACGAACGCCTATGAACCCTTCCGTCATGCTTAAATGATGGTCTACTACCAACATCAATCACAAAAACAACTTCCTGAATAAAAAAGGAAGGAATTCATTCAACATTTGTTCATACTGGCGTTCTGGTTTGGGTTGGCTCGGTCATGACAACAACAACCTGATGATGACATTTTTTCTATATTTTATTTGTGTATTTTGTTTCCAGCCAAGAAAAGGCAGGAAAGCTAGTGTGCATACCCGTGATACCCCGAGTATGGAGGGTTTGGAACTTGGATTATAGAGCCCTTGGTCCGGCCTGATTCATTCGGTGCTGCGACTC